TTTCTCAGCTCTATGAGGCTATTTGTGACTTCCATTATTACACCTTATCATTCCCCTCTGAATTTTCTTTGTTCTATAAAGGTACCTACAGTAACCTAATTTTATTACTCTCTGCCTACATATATGCTGTTCTCTCAAATATAAATACTTCTTCTCATTCTTCTCTTCCAATTCTTCTAGCTGTTGATGACTTATTCTTTTAGTACATCAATTTTTGAGTCCCCTTTATATAACAGGCATTATGTTCAGTACAGAGAATATAGCAATGGGAAAAAAGCCAGACATTGCCTTTGTTTTCCTGAAGCTTAAAATGTGGTGAGGAAAAAGGTTGTATGAAGAGACTGGGTCCAGAGCAAGTCAAAGGCTCACATTGGGTCATTTTTTTAAATGGTTATGTATCATATTATAATCAACTCAAGGAAGTTTCTATGTTACACTAAAGCAACGCAATGCCACAAAAGAAAGTTCACTAATTTAAACTGCTTGTGTTATTTGGTATGACAACAAAATTCATAAATATTTCTTTGTTTCTTTTAATTCAACTTCTATTTGCAATCCGCAATGGCTTTGTGGTTTTTCAATGCTTTATCACCAAGCAAAAGCCTCTCTGTTGCCTTCGCCTGGGTACAGATCTCTGCTCTCTGATCCTTGAGATGAGAGAGAGGGTAGACAATAACATTTGAAGAAATTATGGCTAAAAAGTTTCCAAATTTGATGACCTCTCTATTCCCTTATACCCAAGAAGCTCAGTAAACTTCAAGTACAAGTACAAGAAACATGAAGACAATTCTACCAACATACATGATATTCAAATTGCTCAAACCAGTAAAAAAGAAAAAATAATCATAATATTAGTTAGAGCAAAAAAAGATATGTTGTATAAAAAGGAACTTGGATAAGAATGACAACATATTTCTTGCCAGTTACAATGTAAATAAGAAGATAATTGAGCAGCATCTTTAAAGCACAACGAAAAGGCAGAAGATAATAACCTAGGAAACTATTCCTAGTGAAATTGGCTTTAAAATAATAGCAAATGAGGACTTTTCTAGACATACATGCAAAAGCTGAAGTAACTCATTACCAGCATAATTCATTACGACATAATAATTTCAGACTGTAGATAAAAAGAGAAAGAAATATGGATCTACACAAGGATAAATATTCTGATCTTAGTTCTTTTTTTAGATAACATATCTATTTTATCAAATTTTTCCTATAACAAATTACAGAATTACTTATTAGTTTAATTTCTTTCTTTTCCTTCCTTCCTTCCTTCCTTCCTTCCTTCCTTCCTTCCTTCCTTCTTTCCTTCCTTCCTTCCTCCCTCTCTCTTTCCTTCTCTTTCTCTCTTTCTTTCTCTTTCTCTCTTTCTTTCTTTCTCTCTTTCTTTCTTTCTCTCTCTCTTTCTTTCTTTCTTTCTTTCTTTCTTTCTTTCTTTCTTTCTTTCTTTCTTTCTTTCTCTTTCTTTCTTTCTTTCTTTCTTTCTTTCCTTTCCTTTCTTTTCTTTCTTTCTCTTTTCTTTTCTTTCTTTCTCTCTTCTTTCCCCTTCCTTCTTTCCCTCCTTCCTTCCTTCCTTCCTTCCTTCCTTCCTTCCTTCCTTCCTTCCTTCCTTCCTTCCTTTTCTTTTTTTTTGATTTCATTCTGTTACTTAGGCTGAAGTACAGTGCTATGATCATAGGCTTCCTTCCTTTTCTTTTTTTTTTTGATTTCATTCTGTTACTTAGGCTGAAGTACAGTGCTATGATCATAGCTCACTGCCGCCTGAAACTCCTGTGCTGAGTGATCCTCTTACCTCAGACTCCAAAGTAGCTGAGACAACAGACATGTGCAACTACATTTGACTAACTCCATTTTTGTAGATATGGGGGTCTTTCTATGTTGCTCAGGCTGGTCTCAAACTCCAGTCTCAAAAGATCCTCTCACCTTGGCCTTCCAGTACGCTGAGATTACAGGCATTAGCTACCACACCTGGCCACTTTCTTTAAAAAATAATTGTTAAACAAAAATAATAATGTATTGAAGTGTTTATAACATATGTAAAAGTAAACTTCACTCAATTGGTCAAGGAGAAATGGAAGTATATTTTTATAGCATAGATATATAGAGAGAGAGCATATAATTCTCAATGTCAATTATACTTTAATAAAGCTGTTAAAAATATTCTGAATATCCAAAGTAGCACTTGACACCTATAATTTAGATGTTCATACTACCTAATGGAAAAGGTTGAAGACAAATAATTAACATGTATAACTTTATTACTCCCAGGACAAAAATCTGTAGAATTGCAATAATAAAATGTAAACTTTCTCTGTGCTAAGATATTCATAAAACTGGAGACTCTGTAGTATAGTGTATCAAATATGTAATCAATGTAAGAACAAATTTAATCCTATGAATTATGATTTATACATCTTTAAAAAAATATCATCTAGCTAAATTTGCCTTGTGATTTAGGGAGTTTAGTATCCTGTTTTTGAAATGTAAAGAACTTTTAATTAGCATAATGTGATAGCAAATATTGCTAATACAGTAGATATAATATGTGCCAAACACCATCCTGAATACAGAAACATTTCTTTTTCTTCTGTAGCTCATGATGCAATTTAAACATGGGATTTACATTTAAATATCACTCTGCTGTGTTCAGAATAGGATTATTAGAATTGCAATAAAACAGAAGATCCTCCCCCCACCACTGTCAACTAACAGCCTAGTATTCCAGGTGAGAAGATGGTGATTTGGCAAGGGGAGCAGTAAAGTTTAAATGAAACAGATGAATATAGGACATATGTCTGATGGAGAGCTAAAACTTACTAAGGAAATGGATGAAAAGAGTAGGGACAAACAAGAAATCAAGAATGCTTCTTACGTTTTTGGGTTTAGGCAACTCTGTAGACCTTGATGCTACAAAGCAGGTCTGTAAGAACCGACATGAAGGACAGAAAACAAGGATCTTAAATGTTATCGTCTACCTTATGTTTATTACATAAATCACTTGTATGGTCTTCTTGACTGATATTTATCCAGCCTGGATTTAGAAACATGAGTGATAGAATTACCTTATGAGATAAAGCACTCCTGATTTCAAATTAATGTTGAGGCATATGTGAGACCATTTATGTATTGTCCATTATAGTTCTTAACTCAGTTCTGTGGGACACACTTATTCTTGATAATAAATTCAGACAGATTCATTCTAATTTGTTTGGAAATTTAAGTAGTTTATAGATTTATTAAGTTTCTTGAAATCAGTGGACATTAGCCACCTTCTATCTTTTAAATGCTACTTGGATAATATGAACATAGAAAATGAGAATTTATACTTTTTAATTTTGATATTACTAACTCAAATGAAAGAAAGCAATATCACAGTAGCTCACAAAACCATATACTTCTACCTATGACTGAAAAAATTTATTTCAACTGAGATCTATATTATTTTACCAGTAGGTGCCAGTCTCAGCTCACAAAACTGAGACTCAAACACTTGCTTATTGGTAAAATCCATTAGAGGGATTTTTGTTTTAAAAAAGTACAGAATAGCAGAGATTTTTCTGTCAAGGCAAATGACTATTAATGGAATTTGAAAGCATAACACAATACAAGTTCCTGAACACTCATACAACTCTAACAACTGGAAATAGGATTACTCACTTCTTCCAGATTTTTTATCTTGATATTAGAAAATACTGTTCCCATAAAGCAGCAAGGAATAAAATTAAAGAAAAAATGTAGGTGGAACTTATTGAAATGATTTCATGACTTACCTTATCTTCCCTCTTGTCTTTATTATTTTGATTTTTTTTTAAATGTGGAATAAACGTAGATGATACATTAAGGTCGAAAGGAATGGATTTTTCTGTACTAAATTGTAATAGCCTGAAGTTCCTGAATCAGACATCGAGGGTCCCCAGTTGGTCACTGTCTGCGTGTTGTGAGTTTTCTCTCATTGAAGCAAAATGTATTTGTGTATAACAATAAGATTTAGTACAGTCCTTAGACCATTGCTCTGTGGGCACCACAAATATGCCCATTTTTAGCACAGTCAGGTACTATCAACACTTAAGATAAAAATGTACTTGTGATTATAAGTTGAATCACATGTGTGATTTTAAAAGTATTTGTTAAATGGATTATTTAAAAGATACTTGTATGGATTATTAACGCTTTGTGTGCGTGTCACAGTGTCTCAAACTTTTCTCTGCCCACTAACCTTGTAAAATCATATGGGTAAAAACTTAGGAGGGGACACAGAATTTACAACCAAAGGCCACAATAAGGGACTTTTTTGCTTCAGAAAATGCTAAAGCCATTTTGGATAGAAGCTGTGTTTGGAAAACACACAAGGGGAACCCCCATACATGGAGGTATTAATTTTATACACAAAAATACTGCCATTAGCAAATGCATAAAAGTATACCTACAGCTTGCCAAACTAGCTTTCCTTAAGAGTAAAGCACTGGACTGGTAAATCATAAGTGTGATACTTCCCTTCTACTTCATTTGAGGACTTGTGTGGATGTGCTGATTGACCAGGGTGTGTAAGCACAATATGGAAAGAACTCATCCTCATTAAATAAAATATCTCTACCCACAGGCACCTTATGAATGACCCAAAGAGGAAGCAGCTCAGATGGGAAAAGAGAATGTAAATTGATTTTCACATGCCAAATTCTCCTAGCAATTTTCTCTGCACCTTATTTTTGCATATGAGATATGGTAGAATTAAGAGAGAGGGAGAGACAAAACAAAACAAAACAAAAAAGCTTACTGGTCTGGAAAAGTCACTAAAATACATTGGTATAGAGTATGAGTTACCTCAGAACCCCATTCTACCTCTGATTCTTTACATTTCTAGAGGAGGTTATACCTGCTATGCTTAGGGGGAAAGGCAGAAAATATGTTCAAGTGGAAAATAAAAACAAATAGCAAAAGTAAGGAAACTACCAACAAAATATTTGCAGTAACTAACCTATTGTGTATTTTCAAAACAGAAATGTGTAGACTGAATGATGTACCTGTAGGAGCATCGTTGGTCCTGGAATCAGCTGGCTGACCACAGCCTCAAGTTGTCAGTTGAAGGTAGGTAAGATTCTGAAACTGGATAATATGTTGCATGGCCATCTTTAGAAGGACAGAGAATTTATTTTAATTTTCCTTTATTTTCATTTTGATTTTTATCAATTTCAAATACGTTGTAGTCCTTGTTTTTCAGAAAATCACAAAAGGAATTGAAGAAATAGAAAGGAGACAAGTAAAGGAAAAATGTAGATCAGATTAAGGCAAGAAAATAAAATACATTTAATTAAATACAATAACATATCTTCTTCCAATTCTATGGATATATGATGAGTGCTATCCAGATACAAGATATGAAGAAAGGTAAAAAGAAAACCAAATCCAAAGTACGCAAACACTATATTTTTGGCATTACTGTAGTACATACTTTTCAACCTTTTCCCAATAGAATCTTCTTTCTACCATCACAGTCACCTGTGTATAAATCACCAATATCTCCTGCCTATACCACTGTTGTATCTTGCGGAGTGGCATTCTTGCTTCTACTCTTGATTTTTCCAATATGTTTTTCACACAACTGAGTAAACATGTAAATAGAAGGCAGGGCCTCTAATTAACAGCACGCATGAGCAGGCCCTGCTGACTTTACCATCCTCATGCCTAACTCCTTCCTCCACATGCCTGCCCCACTCCACCACTGTTCCACCCAGTGTTCACTAAGGTAGGGTCCACTGAGGTGCTTTAGTTCCTTAGATAGTTCAAACTGTTGTTTTTCTTTAAGACCTATATACCTACTGTGTCCTTTACCTGGAATAGTGTCTTTTCAGCTTTTGTGGCCATAGTTCACAATAGAAATAAACTGTACACCATGATGCAACATGTGTGGGTGCGTGTGTGTGTGTGTGTGTAAAAACTAAAACTAGAGTTTACAAAACAATGCTGATTCTTATCCTTACCATATGTGATATCTCTGAATATTTTTAAATTTTTAATGACTAGTCATGATTCACTTAATTGATTTTATAAGCCACTATTGTATTGAAACCCAGAGTAAAATTACATGTTAATTTTTACTTATAATATCATTGTGGCATTGACATTCCTTAGGTTTCAAATTAAATGTTATAATCTATTCATGACAGTTGCATCTGACCACCCAATCTAAAACGAGTCCTTCTATTGCTAGTCCACATTGAGTCATAACATAGTTAAACATTTATTGTTTTACCTGTTACTGTGTTCCAACAGACTGTAAAATCTTTGCAGAAAGGGCCTGCAACTTCTAGTTTACTGTTTTGTATCCAGTGTCACGTATACAGCCTGATATATCGTATAGGTCATCGATAACCTCTAACAGCTCCTCTCAGTGTGTAGTGGTTACAAAAAGTCATCCTGCTATCAGTTTTTGGAAGTCAATTATGAGGAGAATTTTAGTTGTGCAGGTAAGCAGGAAAAAAAAAATCCATGTTAAAAAATAAAGGCAATAATTAAGACTCAAAACATTTTTATTTGTATAAAATTATTGTATTAGTTTCCTGTGGAAACTGTAACAGATTACCACAATCTGGGTGGTTTAAGATAACAGGAATTTATTCTCTTTTCTGAAAGCTAGAGTGTGAAATCTGTATCACTGAGCCAAAATCACAGTGTCAAAGGGCCATACTCGATCTGAAACCTCTAGAGAAAAATTCATCCCTAGTTTCTTCTAGCTTCCAGTGGCTACTGGTATTCTGTGACTTGTGGCTACATCTCTAAAATCTTTACCTTTGCCTTCATCCTTATGTTAGCTTATCTGTTTATATCAAATCTCCCTCTGCTGCCATCTTATAAACTACATTGTGATTGCATTTTGAGTTTGCCTGGATAATTCAAAGTTGGGGAAACAGAGTAAAGACAATAATCTCAAAGCAACAAGAGAAGCCTCAATATTTAATGACTCTACTGAAGCATAAACATAAGCAAGTGAGTAGGATTTAGTGATAAGGGACTTAAAAGAACAATCTGAAGTTCTAGTATACATCATGAAGGGGGAAAGAAATCAAATAGATGCCAGCAGTAACAATGCAGAGAGTATTTCTCCAGCCACTCTGGTTATCATCAGGGTGTTTACAGATGTTGCTCATAGTTTATGGGGCTAGGCCTTCAACACACAGAAGGTTGAATAATGCTCAACAGAATAAATTTTAATATTTCTAAAATCTGCACATAAAAGAATCAGTAGTTTAAATAATTTTTTACATAGGTAATTTGCCACAGTATATGCTACTGTAAAGTAGCATCATAATTTTAGTGTCTAGATTGGCTAAAACCAATATAGCAGTATCTGCTGTCCTTACAGAACTTTCTCTAGGTTTCTTACACATTATGTGCACTGCTTTGTCACTCATCTAAGGACTTAACAGTTTATTTTAAAGAAGTTAGGATATGATGGAATAAGAAAAACAAACAAACAAAAAACAAACAAACAAAAAAACCAGGAGCCTCTGTGACCAAAAATACTATTTCTAGCAAAACTATAATTTTTCACTTAATATCAATCCTCTACTTGCTTAATGTAACTTCTATTTTTATTTAGGCAGCAGTGACCACGTTTCTAACATTTCCTGTAGCTAGGAGTGACCTGTGACCAAATTCTAGCCAGTGAGATGCAAATGAAAGTGTCGTGGAGCATTCTGCGAAAGACATAGGAGCTGCCTTTCAGTGAGACTGATAATTTTCTTTCTTCTGAATTCTTGCCATGTGTAATATGCATATGATTATGTGAACTGCAAGTTTCCTGGACTATATTGTACCCTTTGAAAAGAAATCCATGCAATCAAGAAGATAAAGCAAAAACACAAGAGGTCTTTGCTTTATGGGGGAACAATTGACTTTATTTAAGCTACCGTTGTTTTGATGTTTTTGTTGCATGTGGTTAAACTTAATCCTTTTCTATCTAAAACACTATTATGTATCATTAGTTGTTTAATTGTGTCATTGATAATATTTACTCAAAACTTCATTCTGTAGCAAAATGTCAGCATGCGTAGGGCTACTAAAAAGTTTATAGGAGGCTGGGCATGGTGGCTCATGCCTGTAATCCCAGCACTTTGGGAGACCGAGGTGGGCAGATCACCTGAGGTCGGGAGTTCGAGACCCGCCTGACCAACATGGAGAAACCCCGCCTATACTACAAATACAAAATTAGCCAGGCATGGTGGTGCATGTCTGTAATCCCAGCTACCTGGGAGGCTGAGGCAGGAGAATCGCTTGAACGCCAGAGGCAGAGGTTGCAGTGAGCCGAGATTGCACCTCTGCACTCCAGCCTGGGCGACAGAGTGAGATTCTATCTCTTAAAGAAAAAAAAAAAGAGGTTATAGGTTTGTAAAATATGTCATATCTAACTATGGGCAAACATGTATTCTAAAGTAAAATTATTACATTTCTTAAGCATAAGCAATTCAAAATCACTCTCTACTTCTTGAAGACCTTATACAGGTTTGATTTTACTGCATTTGCAGTTCACAATTTTCCTTGGCCATTTTCTTTTTTCCAACTGCAAATATGACTTTTATCATGTAAATTACCAGTTAGCAGTTAATCTTAAGTTTTGATGTCATGTTTCATGGCTAAATTGTAATAGTGTAGAAAGCTTTCTAATTAATATGACAAGATATTGGGGGATGTGCTGAACATGATTTCACATATCAACTGCAAGTTACAGCTGCTTTGGCTAAAAGACAATTTGTCCACATGAATGTAAGAATAACTTTTATCTGTCATGCAAATTTATTTTTTTATGATAATTCCTTGATCTCTCATTTGATTGTCAACCTACTTCAGCCTGTTACTAAAGCTCATAAATATGCCACTCAATCTAATTAATATGCATTTCTATTCTAAGTGCACATTAATTGTATGTATATTCTGTTGTAAATACAGATTTACCACATTTTTATTTTTTTCTGGCATCTCCACAAACCAATCTTTTGATTCAAAAGTGAAGCTCTGGGTCATAGTATTCAGCTAAGGGGATATTTGAAAAAAGATATTTCAAGTTCAATTTTGCTAATATCTTTATCTTTAATATTTCAGAATTGTCAGATTTCTACTGCATCCAGGCTGGTTGCAGTGGGAAGTTGGGGTGTGAGAGGGGACCTTTTAAAAAATGTGTTTCTGTAGCCTGGGGCTGTTTCTGACTGTTGATTTGATGATTGATCTTGGTTCATCTCTATGGTTACATAAAGGAAATCTTACATGCTAATGTTAATCTGTCCTACAGGGCCATATTGACAATGTCCTAGTCCTATATTTAAAAGTGCATATTCTAAGTCAATAAGCCATTGCATAGATTTTTAAATGTCATAAAAATTGTGTGTGGTGATCAATGATAATCATTATGGTAACCTAACTTTGCAAGATAGATGAACTAAATTAACCAGTGTATTTAAACTTGGAGTGCATATTGTATTTTATATTTGTATTTTATTAGCATTGTGATTATTTCATTGATGTTTGTACATCCAGCATCTTGGGGTCATTTGAAATATATTTGCACAATAGTGGCTAATCACTTACACTATAGGCAGATACTTTCTTAAAAATAGATTTGTTTTATAAATTTATTTGGAAGACACTTATTAAGAACATCAAAAAACAATTTCACAAAGGCTCAAATTTTAAAACTATGCCTTAGGTTATCCCATGACAGAATATTTAGACTGCCGGGCGCGGTGGCTCACGCTTGTAATCCCAGCACTTTGGGAGGCCGAGGCAGGCGGATCACAAGGTCAGGGGATCGAGACCATCCTGGCTAACACGGTGAAACCCCGTCTCTACTAAAAAAATACAAAAAAATTAGCCGGGCGCGGTGGCGGGCGCCTGTAGTCCCAGCTACTCGGGAGGCTGAGGCAGGAGAATGGCATGATCCCGGGAAGCAGAGCTTGCAGTGAGCCGAGATAGTACCACTGCACTCCAGCCAGGGGGACAGAGCAAGACTCCGTCTCAAAAAAAAAAAAAAAAAAGAATATTTAGACTACACAGTAGTATAAATATTGAAAGCTGAAATATTAAAAAAATTAAGCCATAGAAAGTTAATAATATAAAACATTGAATAAGGTTTTTTAATGTTTTGCAGCTTATTGTTTTTACAACATACTGGCAGTTTGATGCACTTGGACAATGTAATATCTTCAAATACATGTATATTCAAACAATTCTCTTCAAATATATGTATGCATTCAATCTAAAGCATGAATCTCATATAACATAAGTAATCTGAAACAGTATTACTATACTTACTAACAAATGAGTTTGCTACAGAATATTCTGATGACATACCCAAAGTTCAGATGCAGACAACTTCAAATACGTTAAATGTTTTGCGATTTTTCCCTGTGAGGTACTGTATAGAGCCTATTTGAGGATCACATAAGAAAGTACACACAAAACATTTCACACCTTGTTTAGCAAATGCTTATTCAAAAGCATACATTTCCAGACACAAAATTCACATTTGTTTTGATGTCATAAAATTTTAATTTACATAAAGACTTCAAAATGGCTTTTTGTAATGTATTTTTTGTTTGTGTTAGTTATTTCAGGTATTATACAAATGACAATGCTTTAACTGTAGAAATAGTTTCATGTGTTTAGTTGTAAATGACTCATTTTCAATTGTTATGACAGTCAACATTCCACTGAGGAGAAGCTTTAATATCTCTTTTAAAAATTAGTTATGCTTCAAATTGCTAATCCATTCTGACTGCCTGTTGTAAGCAGGTACTCTCATGAGGGTAGATGAGGAATTGAATGATATGACTGACCAGCTCACACTTTTAGAAGGTATGAGATAAATTTTATTTATAAACCAAATTTGATTTTGAGTTAAGGACCAGTCCTATTTCACTCAGGTCATCTCCAAACATGAAATCCTAGAGAGAAATGAGTATTGCCTTATTGATTAACACATAAGTAACTGTCACCTCACAGTAATTGCACTGTAAACAAAACTTGCTTTCCTTTACTTTTACAAAAATGGAAAAAACAAAAGAGGTTTCTATTTCTCTAATCCTGTCTGTGCTCTTGTTTATGGTGCAAATACAGAAGTTTTTCTATGTAGGTTCATTTTGACTGATAAGAGGATGTAAAGGCATAAAAGTCATTATTACCTAGGCAAGTATACAACATTTATTCTTTTTAATTAGTTTCCATTATCTTTCATGAAGGAGTTCCTATTTTTTATTTTTATTTTTATTTTTAGACAATAGTCAAAACCACTAGTTTTAAAAGAACAGCTCCTGTTTTGCTCTACCTGTCTGAGATATGTAAGTGTTCCAGAAAATTTTGGAGCTGATCATCCCCAAGAGTACAGAGCTGTTGACAAATTACAAAATGCTCTATGGATAATTTTTTTTGAAAATAAAGTTGACTGTATATCCTCCCTTTTCACAGGTCATTTGCAGTTCTTAAAAAAGAAATACCAAAATATATTAGGCTCAAGAAAAGCTACTCAGTCCACTTTTGCTGCTCTCTGCATCTATCCATACAAAGAAAAATGGATGCGGTAAAACATTTTCTGACTAGCACATAAAGACTTCAGCTCTTATCTCCTAGAAAAACTATAGGAAAAAAAAAAAAAAAAAAAAAAAGCCCTGTGTTTTAAGTGTATAGACACTTTCTTACATGTTTAGTGTTATCTGCTATCATATATTCATCTCCATACTGGGCAACTCTGCTTGTTTATCTCAGCATGATTTCTTCCTTTTCATTTATTTATGCTTGTTTTTAAATGTCACCTAGGAAAATAACTCATAGAAAGTGGAAACATTCTGTATGCTTAGTGTATTTGTTTTTCTTTTTTTGTTTGTTTGTTTCAGTTTCTTTTTTTTTTTTTTTTTGAGACAGAGTCTCGCTCTGTGGCCCAGGCTGGAATGCAGTGGTGCAATCTCGGCTCACTGCAAGCTCTGCCTCCCTGGTTGACGCCATTCTCCTGCCTCAGCCTTCCAAGTAGCTGGGACTACAGATGCCCGCCACCACGCCCGGCTAATTTTTTTGTATTTTTAGTAGAGACGAGGTTTCACCATGTTAGCCAGGCTGGTCTCGATCTCCCGACCTCGTGATTTGCCCACCTCGGCCTCCCAAAGTGCTGGAATTACAGGCGTGAGCCATAGCGCCCGGCCTTTAGTTTCTTCTTACTCTAATTTCCCTGTGTTACATGGTCTTCCCTTTGGTATCTTTTGGATTGTTGTTTTATACTTTGTGACTCCTTTATGTGCTTTTAAAATATAGATATATTTATGTAATGTGTTATTTTGGGGAAGACACAAAATCTTATACTTACTTTTCATTTGCCCTGATATCTATTTTAGTTTAGAAAATAAAACGACTTCTTCATAATTAATTTATTTCCTTATATTTTGCCTTAATAAATGGTACCTGTGATGGTTAATTTTAGGTTTCAGCTTGACTAGATAGTCACATAGCTGGTAAATCTTTATTTCTGGCTGTGCCTGAAATAATAGTCTTTAATAGACTGATATTTGAATCAGTCTACTAAGAAAGTTTCACCCTCACCAATGTAAGTGGGCACTAGCCAATTAACTAAGGGCCTGGATAGAATAAAAAGACAGAGTAAAGGTGAATTCCTTTTCTCCTCTTGGGAGCTGGGACAACTTTCTTTTCTGCCTTTGGACATTGGAACTACTATGTTCTCTGGCACTTAAACTCCGGGGTTTGCACTAATAACTTCCAGGTTCTTAGGCCTTTGGCTTTAGATTGAGAGTTATATCATTGAATTCCCTGTTTCTCCAGAGTGCAAATGGCCTATATTGTGACTTCTCAGCCTCCATAATCATGGGAGCCAATTCTCCTAATAAATTCTCTATCTATCTATCTATCTATCTATCTATCTATCTATCTATCTATGTAAATATCTATCATCTCTTATTGGTTCTGTTTCTGTAGGTAATTCTGAGTCATAAAACAATGAAACTATGTCAAATCCGCAGCAATATGCAGGTTAAGGACAATCCACAATCTTAATGTTGAAAATTGTTCTGGACATCCAAGTTGCCACTCTCCCATATTTAGTCATTTAACTTTCACTTAGCCAAAAGGAACTGGGCACAGGAAAG